AAAAAATTCTATTAATCATAAAGGCAGTGATCAATTGTTCTAAGCAATGCTAATATTCATTACTATGACAGTAAAAAGATGACTAATCTTGAAAGGCACTGTTTAAAAAGTTACTGAATTGGTAGCTTATAAACCAGTAAAAGGTGGCTGTGAAGAGAATGTGAAGTAAAAGGTGGTGAGGGCAATAACAGCTAAATGTAGGCAAGGATGATACTTTACAAAATCAGATTTCTAAATAAGCAAGAAAATATATTTATTAGGAATGAAATATTTCAAGTATTTTGATCACAACGGAAAACGGACTTCAATGTTTAGTAAATAATATCATGAATAATGAAAAATTCCAGTAAGTTAAATAAGAAAAAAGGACACGCATAAGAAAAATTTTCAAATTATGACTGACTAACTTAAAATTAGACATTTTTTAGACAATCTGATTATAGTGATTATGCCATGTTGGGAAATATAGAGCACTAAAGATGATCAATATATTCTAAAACATAGGAACTTACATTTGAGATATTCAGAAATAAACCACATTTCTGCCTAGAGCTTACACTTATGGGAGAATTATCTGTATGTTTTTCAGACTCTAATCACATGCCAAGATGATTTCACCTTTAAAAATATTGGTGATCCTTATTAAAAGTCACAAACATAATCTAAGGTAAATAACTTATACAGGGCAGACATTTAAATGCATATTAAGTAAAGCATTTCAGAATAGCTCAGTGATGAATTATCTGTTATATGTCAATCAGAATGAGTTCCCTTAACTCATCCTGATTGACATATAACAGAATCAAAATTAATCAGAATAGTAAGAGAAACTCAGGTTTTATTTTTATTAGTTTGGCTCAAATTATACATACGTATTTTTTCCTCATTTCCTTGCTCTTAAAATTTCTAAAAGTTTGATAATGTTTTAGAATTATTAAATCTACTTTATCAAAATGGATATAAAACAAATTATGATGAAAAAATATAATAAGTTGTTTAAGTAACCATTTTCCCTGAAATCATATCCATGACCTAAATATATATTAAGACCCTGTTCATTCTACAAATGCTACATAAATTGATATAATTGTCTACTCAATTATATACTATATGTGGTTTTCTTCCTGCCTGTTTTATATTTTTTCTTTGTTATTTTTCGAATATTTCTTATGTAAAAGAACAATCATATTCTTAATTAACAAACATTTTCAAAGATGAGCATCAACACTGTTGCAAATCTGCTACAGTTTCCTTTTCATTATTTTAAATATAATGTGCACCGATAAATCAGTAGTATTACAGAAAATATAAGTGAATATTAGTTTTAAATAAGTTACCAATGATTACAAATAAAGGACAGTAACAAACTTTGCATTGCATGCTACATAAAACAAAATTGAAATTAAATAATACTTCATAGTCTTGACTAATTGGAATTGAAGGATGGAAAAAGACAGATTAAAAATTTAGCTCAATTTCATTTACATATCCAGAGGAAAAGAAAATGAGATCAGAAAAAAATATCTCTATTGAAGAAAATAAAGAAAATTAATGTAGAACGATTTCTGTGAAAATAAAGCTTCAAAGAGCTAAAGGTAAACATCCTAGAAAAGAACGGGGAAAGAAAGAGAAACTATGCCCTGGAAGATGCTATTAGATATACTTTTATTATTAAGGGCTCCTTTGTTCATTTCTTTTACATAAACAGTGCAATAGGACATTCATTTCTTTGTGAAAAAAATAAGCCTGTGGACCATAACCATGAAGCCTTTTTTCACCTGTTGGTTCCGTAAAGTGTAGATGAAAGGGTTCAAAAGTGGCGCAACTGAAGTATTGAGCACAGAAATTCCCTTGGAAAAAGATACCTTTTGTTTGACTGACGGGTTAACATACATGAAAATACAGCTGCCATAGGAAAGGGATATCACAATCATGTGAGAAGAACATGTCGAAAACGCTTTTTTCCTCTGACTAATTGAAGGGAATTTTAAAATGGTCAAGGCAATAAAGGTATATGATATTATCACCATTATCAACGTGATCACAAGTGTCACCAAAGCAGAGATGAATCCCATCAGCTCAATAATCCGTGTGTCTGTGCAGGAGATCTGCATAAGAGTAGAGTCACAGTAGAAATGCTCAATAATATTGGAGGCACAGAAGTCAAGGTCGGAAAAGTTCCGAAGGAAAAAATACATGGGGCTCTTGAGGTGAATATCCAGCAGGGTGAGTGTGATGATGATCAGGTTGCCAGTGATGCTTAGCATGTAAATGAGAAGCAGGAAGATGAATAACACCACTTTCCATTGTGGGTCATCAGTCAAACCTGCTAGGATAAACACTGTCACTCTCGTATGATTTCCCATTGCTATACTTGCTATATCTGAATACAGGAAAAAAAAGAAAATGATGTGCCCAATGGAAAAATAACCATGATAATTAATGTTGAAAGTAAAGTTAGCAAAGTGATGTTTCAGATAGAAAAATACATTTCTCTTTTATGTTTTTAAAATGTTGTGATTTTGTTTTGGGGGGAGCTTTTTGGGGGAGAGGGTTTGCAGGAAAAAAGTAGTTAAAACTGCAGTTGAAAATTGTACTAGAGAATAACCTATATAGCAATAGTAATTGTTGACTGTTTTTATGTGGGTAAATTAGAGGGATTAGAGAAGATTTTCAAAGCATAGGAAAATGTGTTTTTCTCTTGTTAATATTCAAGAGTTGGGGTGGCATGCCATTTCCTGTCTGAATAAAGTTTTCATCCTAGAACCAAAATGATGTCACTACAGGCTCATAATTTGACCCCCACACACATGTACCACAATCCTAGCCATCATCAATAAACAAGGCTAGTATACATTTACTATTTTACTCAACTGAGCAAATTCAAATGCCTGATCCTTGTCTCATTTATTTTCATGGTTAATGAGATACAATTCCAGGTAAGTGATTAGGAGGTATTGGGGGAAAATATTCTGTTCTCAAGAGTATTTCCATCCCCTCGATCTCTGTTGCAACCCAGCACTTAGCAATTTGTACCCTAAAACAAAATCAGCAAGTACAGTCTGGTAATGTCAGTGTGTAAAAAGAAACTGCAGTTTTGTGAGAATAAGGAATATAAAAGCTGAGAGAAATAGCCCAGGCTGGGGGGAGGGGGGGTCAGTTGGTTAGTGTTATCTTAATACATCAAGGTTGAGGGTTCAGTCCCCAGTCAGGGCACATAGAAAAATCAACCAAGGAATGCATAAATAAGTGGAACAACAAATCATTGTTTTTTCCTTGCAAAACAATTTTTTAAATTTTCATTAAAAAAAGAAACAGAGAGAAGTATACAAATATGGATTCATGAAATCACATGAGATGAAAAGAGTAAAGAGAAAGAAAAGGACAAAGATAAAGCTCTATGGAAGCCTAGAGAGGTAAGGAGGGTTTTTGAGAGCTGGATAGTGAATTTGAGGGAAAAAGTAAAAAGAAGATTGAAAATATGTAAATTAGTAAGAAGAAATTGTAAAGAGGAACTAGTTACCAATGCAACTTCTCTCCATCTGCTTGCCTTTCTTATACTTACCTTTTTGTTCTCTGTCTAAAATACAGACTGAAACATAAACAGTTTTGAGGTCATCATAGCCTAAAAGAGATGAGAATTATTTGGCAAATTTCAAACACATAGAACAGTGTGACACAAATTTTAAAAGGTGTAAATTTTCTTATCATAAGACTATTCAAATGTTTGGCAAACACACAGTTAAAGAAATATCTATAGATAGCTGGTCTCAACATGAGGCATATATTAAATGAGACAGATTGTTCAGGTTTGCACAGCTAGTAAGTTGGACATCGGCATTAAGATTTCCCAAGTTGTTTCCTTAAAACTACAGCATTTTGGACAAAATACTATGGGCCAGATAATAGCTTATTTCTTTAAAATAAAAAAGTTTAACAATATCTCTAAGGAAAATTTCTTTCCTCAGTATCTTCATCTTCTAACACATAAAATGATTAAGGCCTTATGATAAAATAATGTTTTCTGTTTGAGAATATAAAAATTATTATTTCTAACTTATTAAAAACATGTATTATCATTAAAAAAGGGATATATAGAAATAAAAATAATCTTTTAAGGACATATAAGTGTTAGTTCCAATAATATCTAGGTGAGTTCACAGGAGGAAAGTTAGATTTAAAGTTAGGTCTTAGAATATAAAAAATGAGAGAAGGTATTCATTCATTAGAGAGGAAACAGAGAAAAGTGAAGAGTACATGCACAATTTCATTAAAAGAAATTATTAGAGTTTTATTATCAAAATCATGTATGTTTAATATATAGACATTTATGAGGAAAACAAAGTAGTCTTTCTCCCTGGACATTTCTTTCACATTCAGATAATTGTGAAGCTGCCTGTTATAAAATTTTTCTCATTTACACAACTTACCATAATGGCAACACTGTGGGAAAGTTATATGTAAATCACCCAAATAAGAATTTTATCACGTCAAATCATTTCTTTGTTCAACTTCAACAATTGTGCACACCAACTATCTCCCAACACACACCGTAACATAAACAACAACAAAGTTGACAAAATGAAACCTTTAAAAGTCAGGCCTATGAATGCAGGTATATTTCTTTGTATTAGATACTGTCAATATTAGATAGATTTCAAAAAGAAAAAGGGTTTCAACACTAAACGTTCATTATATTTCATTTGTCTTCTTCACCATTTTCCCTATGTCAAAGTTTAAAAGGTTGGTGAAATAAAGTTAAAGGTGAAAATAGAACAAATGTGAGATAAAATATATGTAACAGGAAACATTGTTGTTACTTTTGAGAAATATTGTATTCATCTTTTCAAGTCTACCAAGAACACTTAAAAATTCAAACAACTTTTAAAATAAGATATACTCACAGATTTATTCGGACAAAAAGTCTCTGTTTCAATATTTAGATCTCTTATCATCAGCTGAACAGAACACACCCATGTTCCATTTTTTAAATGGATTTCACTCTATTCTACAATCTATGATTGTTTTTAGCCCCTACTTTGGAAAGAGTTTGATTAACTATTTTATTACAAATTTTTAGGCAGTGAATCAAATTTTCCCATTATGTGTTGAATATTCTAAGTATTACAGATTAATTAACACTTGATCCCATGTAGTATTTATGCTTTCCTACTTTAAAGGGAAATTATCTAGATTACAAATAATTCTCATGTGGATATGAGATTCTTGAACACCATTTCCCAAAGCAAACCAATTTATATGTTGTTATAGAAGTGTTCTCCCCAGGCACTAAATTACTTTTAATGTATAAATATATATTTTAAAAAACTTGTTTTTACTATGTCTCCAGATAATTCGGTATAAATTTCCCTAATAGATGTCTGACCTACCACATATTTGTGTCTTGAAATCCCCGCTAAAGGTCTGAAAGAAAAAGTAAAGTTTATATTAATTAGTAATAAAATGTGGGAATATAAGATGGACAATTTAGCCTGGTAGAAAATATTGTATCTCAAGCTAAGTGCACCATCCTATCTAATAATAGACAAAGATTGAAATTAAAGTTATCTTCGCTATGCCTCCCATTGGCTAATCAGCGAGATATGCAAATTAACCACCAAAAAGATGGCGGCTAATTTGTATATGTAGGGGCAAAGCG